AAGCACTAGAGTTCAGAAACGGATTGTTTTGATATCACAACTCAATACAAATTACATAATTTACAATATTTTTGCCCGTATTTCCTGTTTGCATAAAATTGAAAATAAGCATTAAAAATTGTAAGTAAACTATGTAAGTAACAAATTTCATACGTAAACTGAAAAGAAATCAAAAAGTTCAAGCCACAAAGGGACGCCTATTCATAAACATAGTGAATGACGCGCGCTGTCAACTGTAATTTTTTACTGTACGGTTGGTGAGGTTGCTTGGCAACTGGCTGCCGTGCAACGTGTCGCGGGTTCGACTCCCGCACGCAACAACTCTTTCTGTGATCCACAAATTGTTGTTCCGGGTCTGGGTGCCATGTGTATGTTTGTAACCGCACCCATTACACAGGAGAAAATCCTAGTGTGTGTGTGCAACGTGTTTTTTTAAAGGAAAACATTGCGTTGGTTTTTAAGTAAGTAGTTTTTTTTCAATTACTTTATGTTTATATATGTGTTTAATTACCATCATAAGTATGTCTCAAGATAGTTTTTACATACAAAATTATTTTTTAGAAGAAGAAACACATTTTTCAAACACAAAATAATATTTGTTCAGTTTTCGTTAATAAAGTAAGTAAAACATTATTTAAATTAATATTCTACGCAGCACTGCGTCGGGTTCTGAGTGCGTATAATTGAATAAAAACATCCAAAGCATGATTCAAATAGCGTGTAATTGATGAAATTAGTTCTGTTTTATGGTGTAAAGTATATACTGGCTTTGTATTAAAAGTACTAAAGAATAACAGAATGACAGCAACTAAACTGGAGTATACTCCCTGGTTTATTTTGTAGTGTGTTTTAGACACGGTCGATTGTTAACTGTATAGGTGGCTGGCAACCTGCTGCGGTGCAACGTGTCTCGGATTCGAGTCCCGTACGGAACACCTATGGCTCGGTCTGAATGTCATGTTTATGTAGAATTGAATGTTTGTCATCACATCCACGACACAAGAGAAAATACCAGAGTGACACACAAACTTTATGAAACGATAAAGACATTCAAAGCAATGCGTCAATGGACAGTGAACACCCATAAGGCGAAAACAATCGCTTAATAAAGCGATTCGTAGACTCATTTGTAATATATAATTATTAAAGTGGCTGAAAGTAGTAAAAATTAGTAATATCTAGACACGCAGTAGCGTGTCAAGTCAAGTTTAAGATAATTATTATTGTGACTGAAAGTAGTACCTAGAAATAAGTAAATGTATCGCCAATTGCTATTCAAGAATTAACTTGGTTTAACCTCTTAAACTTTAATTACAATAATATCGAGATTTATTACCTTGTCGAGAATCGAAAGCACAATTGATATTATTTTTTTATGAGATACGAACGATATAGGTACTACAACATAGAACGGAGGAGTTACGAGTGCGTTGCTGACCTTTTGGGGATAAGGGTTTTGGAGATTTAGGGATGAATGAGGGATTGTGGGAGGGGTAGGCTTGGGCTTCCGGTAACTACACTCACACGGCGAAACATAACGCTGTGGTTGTTTCTCGCCGGTTTTCTGTGAAGCCGTGATATCAGTAGTGCCGAAGTATGGCTGCCCCAAAGCAAAAAATAATGCAGAAACGGTCCCCGTAGTTTATAGCAAAACAATAAATACGTTTGAAATAACTATAACACATTTTCCTTTTCCACCGTTTTATTGAACTTGGAATATTTGCTTGTACGTTTGATTTTTACGTTCGTGTCTGATTCGATATGAGTAGAGTCACGTAGATAGATCAGTGGTGTTTGGTTTTATAGTACAGTAGATAGAGGTATGGTTGTGGGGAGCTCATCGAGTGATGCCGAGGCAACCAATTTCCTTTGGTTAACGTTTACACGGGACCACGGACAATTCTGTCACCACTGTTTTTTTTCTAACACGTGGATTTTAAATGTTTTTCTTTTCTATCGACATCCTATAGATATGATTTTTACATTGATGAAGGGTAAAATATTTATTGTTATCTAAAAGCTAAATCATTAATGGTAATATTTGTTTTTATACCTAATATAAAAATGTATTTGATTATGTTACTAGTTATTTCGTCATTCCAATCGAAGTCTTGATAATAAAAATAATATTTTTGCTAAGCCTAGAAAAAAGCCTAGTTTTTGGAGAAAAGATTAGGTAATATGGGATTTATACCTCTCTAAAACCTCCCCGTTGACCACCATTAACTTCTGTAAGAACCCGGGAGCCTCTTAATAGACAAATTCAGGAGTCTCTACGGTGCAACGCCTGTTACGGCACATTTGCGTGATATTGTAAATCCTACACATTATTCATATCTGATAATTTAGCGGTTTATAATAACCACATACAACCATTAACTAAAATAAGCTGAAAAGTTGACAGCCGTTTACTGAACCATGTTCAAACGTGCGGTTAGTTAAACCATTAACTGGACCACTAGTCATAGTGATCACTAATCCCTGCTAAATTAACTGGAACTCCCATATAGTTAAATATTCATTGAGATTAACTTCCGTTGTGAGCTTCAACTGTTATATATCGATCATAGGGGATTATGTGAAGGTGTACAACATTAATAGTATGAACGGGGTTGTGGGTGCAAGGGTAAATTATTTACCGCGGCCCGGTTCGTAGAAAAAGAAAGATAGAGTTGGCTTTGTCACTAAGATTCTGATAGGTACTCTCTCTTGCCCTTGCCTGGAACGCAGACAATAGGTATTGACTAATTTTCCAACGACATACTGCGGTAGAAGAGGACAAATTTGACAACTAAATACGGCGGTGTATTTTGTTATGTTTATGTGAAACAAGCTTCCGCCCACGGCTTTGCCTGCGTAATAAAAAGCGTAGCCTATGTACTATTCCGGAGTGTATCCTATACCTGTGTCAAATTACATCCAGATCCGTCTAGCCGTTTGGCGTGATTTGAGCAACAAACATCGTTACTTTCGCATTTATTATATTAGTAAGATTGTATGTCTGTAAACGTACTCACAACCCAGAAGTCAATTCCAGTGTAGGGAAACGTATTCTATACTAATATTATAAAGAGGTAAAATTTGTAAGTTTGTATGTAGGGGGTAATCTTTGGAACCGCTGGTCGGATTTCCAAAATTCTTTCACTGATAGATAGCTACAATATTCCTGAATGTTGTAGGCTATAAAACATCACGCTGCGATCTGTAGGAGCTGAGTAGCGGGTGAAACCGCTCGAGAGTAGCTAGTCAATAATAATAAAATAACATTGCATACTGTACGCGAATTTCTAATTTTACTGAAATTAGTTCAGTAGAACTTAGGTATCTAGTTTTCATTTCCTTAGTCAAGTAGGTTATGGTTATGTTCAGTAGAGTATCGTATTATTCCTTTATTACAAAACTAAGTATCCTTAGTACTTACATACTGAAGCGGAGATAAGCTCTCTACCCGATGAATACCATTAACCTCAGTCCGCATTACAATAATTAGAAACCAAAAGTAATTCAGCAAAGAGGTAAAAACTGAATCTGACTCTTTAGATTCAGAACGCAAACTTAATCCATTATGTTAAACATAATTGTTAAAGTTTTAAGAGTATAAAGGTGTATCTTGCCATAATGTCTTTTATTTGTTGCTTAAAAGAAAATCAATATAGCGTTACGGATCTCAATCATGAATATCGCAATATTTTGTGCCAATTGCTAAAAACTTTGCAAGACAAGAATTTTCTCCTGTGTCGTGGGCACGGTTACAAACATGCAATTTACCATACACATAACACAAAGAACCAGAACAACTATTTGTGGATCACACAAAGAGTTGTTCCATGCGGGAATCGAAGCCAGTTGACAGCCACGGCGCCAACCGTGCAGTCAAAACGGCTTCGCCCGCAATAGCAGGTTAAAAAACCTCTGTTTTATTCTTCACCTTACTTATCTATATCGGTGCAAAATCTCATTAAGACCCTTTCAGTAGTTTTTACGTTAAAGACTTACAAACATTCATCCATCGTTGTATAGTAACTATCGTAGAATTCTACAAATCGAATCTCATCCACTTTGCTTATTAGAACTTATTTCATTTACGATCCCAATCTAAATACTAAAAACACAATAATACCTACCTTGCTCGACTGCTGTTGAACTTTCTAGTTTTATATTTTGCGAATACCTATCAAATGTTGCCTGGAAGGAAATCGATACAGCCGTATCTTCACCTATCAAATTCAGAGGGATATATACCTACATACATACATATATTTAACTATGTAACTCAGAATCGCTGAGATGCAAAGCACAGGTGTGCATAGTGCACTGTCGCGCTTTGTGGTAGATTGATACATGCACTGGAATACATCTCCTTGATTAATTGTTCAATATATGCAATTAGTGGGCGCATACATTTGTAAATGGCTCTTTGATTCGGTTATAACCATTGCTTAGTGTTTAGAGTAAATGGTGATTCAAATTAATTTTATCGATCTACTTATAACATTGGTTTACAGTGGTTTTCAATGACGTTTTATTTAATATTATTAATACTTTTATTTCACATAGAAATACTACATTCACTGCCGTAAGTCATTTCTGAATAGAAATAGAAATAGAATAGAAATAATTTATTTGCAGAAAATGTATGTTACAGATAAGGTGACATGTTAATTTATTTTGTCTCAATACATTTCGAAAACTCTTTTTCTAGGGAATATCATCAAATGTTTTCTCTCAACTTGGGTGCGATGAGAGTGAGTGTCAGACTCTTACTGACTAAAAACCACCCTGGTAACTTGTGCTTGTACTAACTCCGGACTTAACTCAATCCTTAGTAACTGTTTTTGTAATAAAATGGTTACTTAGGAATAGTGGAAGTATTAATTAATGTCTCTGAGTACAAAAGTAATTACAATAAATAGTTGAAATAAGTTAGTTACCTTTTATTTTTCTCACTTATAATTTGTTTATTATAAGTATAAGTGTGGGAGAGCCATGCTTCGACACGAATGGGTCGGCTCGACCGGGGTGATACCACGGCCTCACAGAAAACCGGCGTGAAACAACCACAGTGTTGTGTTTCGCCGTGTGAGTGAGGTTACCGGAGGCTCAATCCTTCCCCTTCCCTAATCCCTCCCCAGTTCCGAAATCTCCAAATCCCTAATCCCTAAAAGGTCGGCAACGCACTCGTAACTCCTCCGTTGCGGGTGTCCATGGGCGGCGCTGATTGCTTACCATCGAAAAAGATTCTCATCAACTCAAACTTATACAGAAACTATCTTTCACATCTTAAAATCTGCGAGAGGAAACTGTCCTACAGTTAATATAGGCTTTATAAATTGCATCACTCTATCACCCTGAAAAGGGCAGATAAAAATAAATCTTCGCGACATTCTAACGCTTTCAGGAAATCATTTAGTCAGATAGCTATCTGGGATTGAAAAATGACACAGCTGTGTGTCATTTTACGAGAATATGGAAAGGTAAATGTTAAGTATTAGGAGAATGAGCTTGGTAATTTGTTAGTTATGATAGAAGTTTTCTATACTAATATTATAAAGAGGTAAAATTTGTTAGTTTGTAAGTTTGTATGTAGTGGGTAATCTTCGGAACCGCTGGTTGGATTGCCAAAATTGTTTCAGTGATAGATAGCTACAATGTTCCTGCGCCATAGGCTATAAAACATCACGCTACGATCAAATGGAGCCGAACAGCGGCTGCGAGTAGCTTAGTCTTTTAATAAAGGGCGCAACAGAAAAAGACCCGTGGCTGTTTAGAAAAATTGTAACCAGCCGGTGTGCGTCTGGCAGCAATATTAATTAAAAAGGTTTGATTACAAGCATAGATTTTTTTCATCAAAAAAGTAAGGTTTCCTGATGGTAAGCAGTTTAGCCGCGCGTGTACACACGCAACACAAGAGGAGTTTTTGTTTTAGTTGCAAGCCATTAGTGCGTTGATAGCCATTTTGATTGAAGGATTGATTAGCGGGGATTATTTTTTTTTTTATCAATTAAAGAGTCTAACTAATAATGATGATGACAAAACAATGCAAATTTGAAGAATTGCGATGATGAGTTTTGTATTTAATAAAATTGGCTAGATTTTGTTTTGTAAAAGAGTAATGGACTGTTAAATAAAGGCCTTGAGTGGCAGCTAAGTGACACAGACCTTAACTTTGTAATAAAATCTTTAATTTGTAGATACTCAATTTTGATACTTATCTATCTTATCTATCTTGATAATGATCTATATCTAATTATATTTTGCTTTGTTCGACTACGTACGACGACGTGTTAATATTTCTTTATTTTATTTTTTTATTCTTTATATAGAATTGCATAATTATCGGAGGAATTAATGCTAGAAGCATTTTCTGCCAGTCAACCTTTTAGTAGTGCGGAGATGTGTGGTAGGTGATATACAGCAATTTAGAAAGTTACGGAAATTGGTAAAACTAAGGAGTCATCATTTTATTTATTAATTGAAATGACTTCTTAGTTATTATTACGGCTCCGCTACCCGTGCTACAAAATTGCTAAAGTTCAGAGATAAGCCAAAAATATGGCACTTGTATTTTTCATTATTTGCGCACTAAAACTGCTCCGGTTAGCTAGTTGCCGTTGAAAATAGTCGCTGCAATCAACGGGACACGTGTCAAAGAATTAAAAATAGCAACGATATGATCGTCAGACATTTGACGACAGATATTTTGAAAGTTCACAAAAAAATACCGCTAGTAAAATAGACATGAACAAAAATAGACTTCCTGGTCTCCTAATAACTAAAGGTCTGTTCACACTGAGACGCGAGGCGACGCTGAACGCACACTTTTTAAAAGCGACTCAAAAACGAACTTCGTTTCCACTGGCATTTCCCAATATTAATATATACCTACATATAGCTATGTTTATTTAGCTATCCTTCGGCACGCATGGGTCGGCTCACGGGTCGGCTCGACCGAAATAAGACCATGGCCTCACGGCGGCGTGAAACGACCACAGCGTTGTGTTTCGTCGTGTGAGTGAGGTTACCAGAAACCCAATCCTTCCTCGCTCTCAATATCTATCCAAATTTATTTATTTTTTTTTGTTTGTGTGTCGTTGTAACGCATCGCTGTGGTTGTTTCAAGCCGGTTTTCTGTGAGGCCGTGGTATCACTCCGGTCGAGCCGACCCAATTGTGCCGATGCTTGACTCTCGCACATTTGAAATATTGTCGCGTCGCGTCTCGTCTCGGTGTGAATTGACCCTAAATCGTCGGTTTTGGGATGTGTTGACATGACAGCGGTGGCCGGTGTTCGCACGCGACACGCCCAACTATTTCATTACCGGCTTAAATTTCTTCCATTAGGTAATCTACACAAAAACCTCCGTTTGTTTAACCGAAAAAATAGGAATTAGTTCGTGTATATTGTGTATAACTTGGGAATATTAGTTAAAAGCCAGTACTTAAGTAGTTTAAGCACTAGAAAATAGTCATTTATTTAATTAGTTTTTAAGTTACTATTTTAGAAATGAACCTTTCATGTCTTGAATAAATTGATAAAATAATAGGATACACTGTAAAATGATGCTTTAAGTTTTTGTATTCTGTATTTTCAGGTTTCATTCAGTTTTGAAATTCTTAGTAAGTACTAAAGGCGGTTTTGACAAAACACGGAGTAAAAAAGAAGAGAGGCCAAGTAAATATCTATTCAAACCGTAAATACCCACTTTTTTAAATGAAGGTATGTTATGGTAAAAATCCTTTGATTCATTAACCTTTGAATCATTAATAAGGACCCCCGAAATTACCTTCTAATTAAGATTTAATTAGAGGTCAGAGGGCTCTGAAAAAAATATTAGTCCCTCAATTAAGTTCATTCTGTGGGAAGTGATACTATTAATTAGCTTCTCGTCGGAGGATAAAAATTAAAATACATTTTAAAGGACAAAGAATTAATCTATAAATATAAGAAGTTAATTTTCTTGGAATTACTGACCGTTTTATTACATTTTTTTACTAAGTAAGCAGAAAAAACAAAGTCTAAACATACGTCAAACTAACATAAATGCTAAAGGCGTTCTTAGCCTTTTAAGAACATCACATTGATTTCTATTACACATGTAATTATAAGCATAAAATTGGAATAGAAGCAAAAACCAATTTACGATATAAAAGCCTAGACTTGCGTAAATGCTAGCCTTCATATAACCTCAATCAGATTAATATAAAAGATACGAAATCGATCAAATAATAGCTGGAATTACGAGTAAGAACCAACATGTACATGCAAGAAAAACATTACAAAGTAATAAGTAACCATTTGGCATCGTGATTTAGGGATAAAATAGGTCATTTGTGTTTTTATCTAAGCACGCAACTAGTTGATAAGGTTTATTAGTCTTTAAATACTCTGTTTCAACTTATTAGAGTATTCAAATTGCGTTTTTTTATGAGATAAGACGGCAATCAAGCAGACTGACTTACTACGGAAGTAATTGTCGTCGCCCATTGACCCATAATACCAGAGAAGTTACGAATGCGTTGCCAGCCTTTTAGGGATTCGCTTCAGGAATTGAGGATTTGAGGGAGGGGAAGGTTTGGGCCTCCGGTAACCTCAATCCTACAGCGAAACAAAACGATACATTGTAAAAAAGCGTACTCCTAATCTAAGTGTGCTCGGGCGATGTTGCGTACAAAAGTATCCATAAATAGACTTACATATACATATTCTAAAACACACACACACACATAACATCTATTTTGAAATAATATCCTTGTCAAACATTTTCAACAGCTGCCAGATAGCATAAAGCGTAAATATTCAACGTCAAATTAATATCAATCATTATTATATTTCAAACTATTCATATTTATATTCGGACGCGTGTCGACTGATTTAAATCAACAGTTTTATTAAAACAACTATTATTATTTAATGGAAAAATAATTTATTTTCATTAGTCTCTATGATCGAATGTTCGTAAATGGGATTTGATTCAAGATCCTAAGTTCAATCTAGACATTTTTTCGATTACGAAATTCAGCGTAATGGAACGGAATCTAGAATTGTGTCTACCTAGTTTTTTAGAACAGTCTCGCCCTTTCACGTTACCTTATTTAGTTAAAGCCATTACTTTAAATTGATTTTGGTTATGTAGGTACATACGTATACACGTAAATTTCTTCTCATTAATTTCCTTGATTGATTAGTCGAAATGTAATATATCAATGTGTTCAAAATTGACGTGATTAACATATAAATTGCAGTACAGGGTATCGCCGCACCGCCCCAAAAGGTTTGGTTAAATTCTAAAGCCAATCCTACTCAATCCGGAATATCGATAGTATCGAGGGTCGAATAGACTCGATAGATTTCTGGCTCTAGTGTATAGATAATAGGCTGTTCCCTTTGTCCATTTATTTATTAAACGTCTACGCCAGACGGGCAGACGCTGACCCTACGAAAAACCTGTTTTTATATTGTAACTGATAGATAGGGTCTGAATTGAACTTTCTTTCTGATGTTGATAAATTATTTGATACACTCAGTCTTAGGTAAAAGTTTAACAAAGTTTTGCTTTATCCTTCACTATTGACGATACTGTTAAAACTTTTTAAAACTTCATATTTCTTATAAAAGTTTAGATAAGTAACTTAGTTTATGAAGAGGATGAACAAAAACTTGTCATGATATAGTTTTATAAAAATAAGTAGGTAAGTAAAATGAGTTCTTGTAAAGCCATTATGTTTCAATAAAGATGATAAAAGTCAAAAGTCAAAATCATTTATTTCAATTAGACCCATACAGGCGGTTTTGAACGTCAAACACAAAGAAAGTCAGTCAGTACTCTCAGTGAAGCTATTTGCTCGTTCCAAAGTGTAGATTCCGATGGAGAATAACGAGCAAGAAACTCCATGTTTACTCTTGGTACATTATTTAGTTAGTTTGATTATTTGAGAACAGTGTAACGCGTGTATACAGAGAAACATAAAAATAAAATAACCTTAAAGACATTAGAAATTCCGGAGCTGACCAGTCCCAATTGACGGCGCCCGTTAACGAACATGACACGTACACCAGCATCGACTATAATATAGGGAATCGAGCGATCCAGTGCCACCGACAATGTGACCTTTGAGTGAGCGTGACAACTCCAAGCTGACATAAGGACCGACATTCTGCTAGTTTAACTAAGTAATAGGTTACGGGGCACTCACATTTTACAAATTTATCAAGTTTATACATTATACGTTTAAAAAGTCCCAGTGTAATTTAAAAAAATTAATTCAAACAAGACCGGAGACTTTAGCCTTTATTTCTTTTACCTGTTTGTTTAGCATAATCTTTTTAAATTCAAAATTAATTTACGTCTACTTTACAATCCGACCATCGCAGGTGTACAAATACCCGCTGTCTGTTGTCTTCTCATTTCAATATATAAACAATGGCCACTTAATAAATAAATATAATTATTATTATTACTCAGCTAGCTAAATTGTTTGCATATCCCGCAATGAAGTGGCTTTTGTGTTCATTAATAAATTGTCGAATGATAATTTAATGCTCCGATAATATAATTTATCTGTAGCCAAAATTTGAATGAGTGCTCATATTTTACACAGAATAATTCAAATAGATTATCATAGTTTTAAAACATTTTTCATATATTAATCGCCCTATTCTATATAGTTTAAAAAAGAGTTTTTCGGTCCCTATATCCCTTCTTATGCTTAAATTTTGGGCTGTTCGGACTGCCTCAATGGTGTAGCGCGTCTCGAATGTTTCCGGAGGCTAGAATAAATGACTTTTATGCCATAACTACAGTATTCCACTAACATTAGGATAAGAAAGGTAGTTATTTTGAAAATATATTTAATGTACAGAATTGACCTCTCTACAGATTTATTATAAGTAGAATTGGGTAGTTTCCTATGTCAAAAATAAATTAATAATTCGACGTTTCAATACAATAAAATATTAAAAAAAAACTATACTTTTACTCACCGTTCGATAGTTTAGATTTTTTGTAGCTAATTATTAAGAAATAAGTAATAATTCAGTTTTTCAAATAAATTTCATAGAAAAGTACCGTTTTTGACGTTTGGATAAAAGTATTCAATTTGACTAGTTGGAAACTACCGTATTATAGATGTCCACTAAATAGTAAGGAAATTTAGTACCAGCATTGCAGCCGACCGAAACCGGTGCGTGTCTGTAGTAGGCTATATATTAACCAATAATAACACTGCAGGTGGCGTAAAACTGTTATTTAATAATCTAATAAATTCCTCCATTGTCCACAGGCAGAGCCCCATGCTACGATGCTGGACGACTTGGTGCCCACGCTAGCGACCAACAAGACCACGGTACCAGGCCAAGACCACGCCTTCTACGTCACATTCTTCGATGAACATAACAATAAATATGTCAACCAAAGCCAAAATGGCACAGAGGTAAATTATAAAAATAGTAAATTTTAGTAAAAAAAAAATTACAATATATCGTTACTTATGCACACAAATGCGTTCCGGACGAGGCAGCGATTTTTACTTTCCAATGCTCAGTGTTTTGAGTTTCAGTGGGAGAGCCATCCTTCGGCACGAATGGGTTGGTTCGACCGGATTGATACCACGTCCTCACAGAAAACCGGCGTGAAATAACCACATCGTTGTGTTTCGGTGTGTGAGTGAGGTTACCGGAGGCCCAATCCTTCCCCACTCCCAATCCCTCCTCAAGCTCTAAATTCCCAAATCCTAATCCCTAAAAGGTCGGCAACGCAATCTTAACTATTTCGTTGCTGCGGGTATCCATGGGCGGCACTAATTGCTTACCATCAGGTAATCAGCCTGCTGGTTTGCCGTCCTATCAAATAAGTAAACACACACACATAGAAAAATTGTGTTGTTATTTAAAACCTAAACACGTGCCCTCCCTAAACCTGAACCCTCTAGGGAACTAGAATATGGCTCCTAATGATTTCCTAATACACAAAAGGCTCCACATAACGCAGCCTATCCCGCAAGCGTTATCTTTCAAATGTCGCATACTTAAGCGACAGCAATCAATTCTTATCTTACTCTCCTTATCTATGCTGACGTGTCAAGAGTAGACTGATGAAAAGCTTGCCGTGAAGCGCAGTTTGTGTTCAAAAGTTTTCCTTACCTTTAGCTTTTTGTGTAAAAAAGTACTAACATCTTCCTAATACGTGTATTATTTAAGGTACAACTGATAAAGAGATTTTAATGTTAGTTAATGAATTAATATTTATAAAGAGGTGCATCAGGACTGCTTCGTTTTGAGAAGTAATTATCTCTGCCTCCTATAATACGAGTAAGACTCTTGAGTACCTATGTAGGTAATTCAAATTAATATTATAAATGCAAAAGTAACTCTATCTGTCTTTGCTTCACGCCTAAACTACTGAACCGATTTCTCTGTTTGGTAAAGACAAAGTTTGGAACTCGAGACAGGACATAGGATAGTTTTTATACAGGAAGTCACTATTCTACGCAAACGGAGTCGCTGGCAAAAGCTAGTAACTTTATAATTTAAGTCTTCATCGTCCTACTCAAAGTACAAGTTAGAAGAAGCCAACCAAAAGTATCATGAATCCACAACCATATCCTGAAAGATCACTCACTATTCAGCTCTGTAAAAATATTATATAGGTACCATTATTTACTAGTAACTTATGTACATAGAAATGTGCTACTTATTACGCGTGAATTATTCGCAAGACGGTCCAATTGTTAGAAGATTGATGTTGCCTAACAATGGATGAAGTAGGAACATATTTCCCTACACTTTTACAAATAGTAGAATTGTAAACTGTTGTAGTATTTCAAGTGAGACAAGTAATTATCTAGTATATTATAGGTTTATCAGCGTGGTGATTGATGCTCAAACCTTCCCCGTGTAAAAAGAGGTCTAATGTAAACTGTCGTAGATATTCGAAAAATAAAAGTTGCTAAGGACTTGCTGGCTGGTGGGCGTAATTTTTTTTTTTTGGGTCAAAACACATTGTTATACTTAATCGAATTAAAAAATAACTGGTGAAAGTGTATAAATAACTATCATAAGCACATTTTTCTACCCCTTTTTCGGTATTTTTTTAAATTTGAGCCTTTGATACTTAGCGAAAAAATAAAATCACTTCTATTCATAAGTAAATGCGGTCTAAAATTATACAGTAACAACATTTCAATTGACGTCTCGTTCCGAAAATATATTTCATACGAAACTTTTATTTTCGTATCCAGTTTTATTGTTAAAATATTATTGTTCTCGAACAAATACATACTTCGTAGTACTTTACTTTACTGTATGGTATGGTATGAACTAGACAGGAAATTTAATAATGTTACTGAAATCAAAACAACGCGAAAGCCCGCGATTGGTTCCACTGAAACAAAATTAGAACAAACTGTCGCGTTCTTGATTAGAAATTTAAATAGAAAATATATACTGTACTTATATTTATTATATTTCATATCATATATTACTTGTCGAAGAAATAGGTAAAGATCCAGGTATTTGGCACGGTATTTTAGCTATACCTATTATTTGCTCTGTCGTAGTGGACGCCATCGCCTGCCGACGGGTCTACGCCCAAATCATAACCTTAATTGGAATCTTTGAAATTTTCGAGAATTTTGAAATATTATCTTTGCTTAGCCCCGGGAGTAAAATATAAATCTAATTCTTGTTTATTTTTACTCTTTTAATCTTTAATATGAGCAGTAGCCATAGAGTATCGTTGCTTAATGTTAGTTTAAACATCCTAATTCACGATCTTACTGTGAAAAATGTTCAAAAATATTCTTCTGGTAGTTTTTAAGCAGACAGACATAGATGGGCACTTCTTTTGATCTTTAATTCTTGGTACAATTTGTTTTATTTTTTTATGTAACGCAAATTGTTTTGCTCCAGGCCTACCAGTCCTTTATCCTCCCGTGGTGGCGCCAAGTGCTATGGACGGTGCTGTTCGCTGGTATGGTGGTGGTGGCAACCGTGGGGAACCTCGTCGTCATCTGGATAGTACTCGCCAATAAACGGATGAGGAGCGTCACCAATTATTTCTTAGGTAAGTTATTAAGAGTTAAATACTGCTGGTTTACTCCAAAAATACAAACAATTTCAACTAAATTTAAAAAAAATAGTGCTTATTATTAGTAATACCTACTTGTGTGTTTTCTTTTAGTATCGGTTCGATTTCAGATTTTTTAATATTTAATTCATTTTAAGCATGCAACATTACCTATAGCTTAACTTAATGTTGCAAAAGAAAAAAACCCTACATGCTTAATAAGAAAATCACGGAATTGGTAATACAGAGAAGGCACGGATAGTGTCACAGTTGGCGAAAAGTGTGCAACTATGTGGCTGGATTTAATTAACATTCCTTAGTTAGTAAATAACAGTCTGAGCGCAGCAATAACTTATCGATTAGTTTATTTATTTAACGAACTCTATCCTAAAACTATGAGTTCATATGATATGGTCCCTATCTACGCAGTAAGCTGGTGTTCACGGAGGTGTTTCCAAATCCCTGACACTTCACGTATCTATAAACACTGTATGAACCTATATATGTTTGAACCACCAAAAAAAAATTAAAATTGTATATTCAGCTCAGCTTTTACGACAAAAACATGAAGACACAACTTGGTTTAAAACCTCGTATGCAAAATCTGGGCGACGCTTTCATAATGTGTAAATGTGAAGGCTGCATTCTCGCGCATCGGTTTTAATTACTGAAGCCCCTTCCGGCTTTTAGTCCCAAATAAAACAAAGACAACATCACAGCGAAGAGATTTAACTAATATCATGCAGGAGTTTGCGTATTAAATTTCTTTATAAAATTTACTTGATATTGCTCAATTTTTTTCTATCTTTTTAAGTTACGTAATATCATGTCTCATATTTAATTCCCAGTAGGTTGGGAGGAGTTGTACATACACATAGTATTGTATTTGTATTATATGATACTTATAGCACAAATACAATACTTATAATACCCTTATTTTACCACCTATGTGTATGTGAATGTTCGAATGCTTAATCAGGTGACTCATAGTATAGGTTGGTAATGTGATGTATTTTTCGAATCCGGAATATTACCTAGTGGATTACGCTTAACTACACTACTGTGCAACGTGTCGCGGGTATGATTTTCAGACAGAAGAATTCTCTATTATTATTTAAAATGCTTTTCATTTTCTATGTTTCTAAACTCACGATGCAGGAGGAAATCTTAATGAAAAAAAAGTAGCTTATTGCCACATACGGCAATCGCTTTCCCAACCCAACGAAGCTGTCCCTATAAGGTATCATACTTGTGCAAAAATCAATTCTACTACAAAATCTAATCTGAAATTTTCTTTCCCAGTGAACCTGTCGGTAGCAGACGCGATGGTATCAACCCTGAACGTGACGTTTAACTTCACATATATGCTGAACTCTGATTGGCCGTTCGGACACTTTTATTGCAAGTTCTGCCAGTTCATCGCCGTACTCAGTATATCAGCTTCAGTGTTCACTTTACTGGCTATCAGTATGGACAGGTGAGTAATTACGACTTTATGGAATACCTACTAACGACCCACCCCGGCTTAGCACGCATTTAAAATTAATTTATACCGGGATTTTAAAAACAACGCAACAGCGCAACGCAACATCGCACAACAACAACGCAACAACAAGCGTTTAAAGCAACAGCTAGACTAAAATACACAAATCAAAATAGTCTATAGCACTCACACATTGTTGCTATCTATCAGTGAAAGAGTGTTAGAAATCCTACCAGCAGCAGTTCCAAAGATTACCCCCTAAATACAAACTTACAAATTTTGCCTCTTTATAGGCCCGGCTCGCACGGGAGCAACGCTTATACGAATTTTCTCCACTACTTAATGGATGTTATTATACATATAAACCTCCCTCTTCAATCACTCTAGGTATCTATTAAAATAAACTGTATCAAAATCCGTTGCGTAGTTTAAAATATTAAATAGGTTTAAATGTTTAAAACTATTTAATACTTATATAATAATAGGCATATAGGGACAAAGCAAGCGACTTTGTTTTATCTATGTAGTGATTCACATAGCTACGATACATGACTTACAAAGACATAGATTATAATTCGAAATATATTATATTTTCACAGAATAACGTTTAATTGATTATTTTTAGAAAATTAAAGCCGAGCAAGCTCCCACTGCCTGCTACAATTAGTTACCGTAGTCTAGTCTAGAAAAGTGTAATGGACACTTTTAGGTAGAATACGCAATCAGCCATTTTAATTAATAATTATTTTGCGAATTCCAACATTCATTCTTCCTAATAAATTGATATTTGATACGAATAACGTTTTCCCCTTCCAAAAAGAATTCGTGTATAATACGAAAATATGTTACTCGATTTATTTCATCGTAGGTACAAGCGTACAGCGGAAAATTGTCAAAGAAAAGAAATTTTATTTAGCCATTTTCGTTGGTATTTACATAATCAAAATCACCGCTTTATGTGTCGGTACATAACGTAAAAATTCAACGTATGGACAAGGTTAGGGACTTTTTGTTGTATACGATTTACAAAGAAGTTGAATAGGTAATAAAAAATACTAATTATTATACATATTAATACTATTAAATATTATTAGGTACTAAATAGATTTCATTTTTCTATTATTTTGTTCGTTACATGGCTTCAAAACATATACAAAAGATTATGGCGAAGTGATTTCTGAATAAGTAGGTACTAAAACATGTCCATATGTATTCGAAATAAAAACAACATGAAAAGACTAGTTGTTAGAACCATATTTGAAGTCTTTTCTATTCACCAAATAGACATATAGTTCTTACAAACACATATAATTACATGTAGTTTCATACGTCAAGAGGAAAAGGTTTTATGCCGTAGAAAATTTATAGAGCAACTACCTTTGTATCAACAGCAAAACATCACTGATACACCTCTTTTCAATGGGGTCTAACGTAGGAAATCCATTAACTAGGTATATTCATCGCTGTGGCTTTTAGCGGCCCCGTCCTTGTCACTGAACCCCGCCTTCCTCACTTATATCACTACTATTCAAATATAAAAGACGTTAATGTTTTATAAAGCGATGCAACAGTAAAAGACGCCGCCAATGGCACAGATAAAAACGTTTGGAGATTTCTTTTTGTGGGGGAAAACCATCAAATTCAAATTTCTTTATTGTGGTACATAGGTACGCAAATAGGTGTTACATGTTTCAAAGATTGTACACAACTATGATCCGCCATAATGGGTAATATCAAATGACTTCTCTCACCTAAGGTAAGCAGAAGTCACCTGTTTCAGATGGAAGGTGAGGACGCCATGGCATCTCCCTAGCCACTCCTCAAAGTCTAAGCTTCTGAGTCTTACCGCTGCGATAATAGCGAATCCAAGTATTGGAGTTAAAACCTGCATTTTACTGAGTCAACGCCATTTTATATGCATCCCGAATCATAAAACAGCAATAGAAAAGATTTATTTTCTCAACCTAGTCGTTTGGATCAAGTATTAAAAATTATTGCTTTGAATATGTCTAAGGGTTCCAACGCCATCCTGACTTTATTATCTCAGGGTTTTAATAAATAAGTTATGAGAACCTGCACAGTAATATTAAAACCTCTTTTTTATGTGATAGAACAGCAAACAAGCAAATGGATTACTTACCATCAGGTAATCCGTCTGCTCGTTTGCCGACCTATTACATAAAAAAAAAAAAAAAAAAGATAAGGGAATTGGAGATTTTTGGATTCCGGGAAGGGAAGGATTGGGCCTCCGGCAACCTCACTCAAACTGCGAAACAAAACGCTGTAATTGTTTCACGCCGGTTTTCTATTAGGCCGTGGTTTCACTCTGGTGCAGCCGAAGCATGGTTCTCACGCACTTATTTAAATTACGCTGCTTCAAATTAATATCATATGCCATATCTGTCCCTTTTTACACACTGAAACGACTGATGTGTTCTTATATATTTACTCTTTGTGCAGATATGTCGCCATCATGAGTCCTTTACAACCAAGACTGGGCAAGCGAGCAACTCTGGGCATCACAGCTGCTATCTGGGTATGGAGCTCAATCCTCAGTGCTCCTAACCTGATCTACTTCACCACAGAAATGGACTACTTACCTGATGGATCAATAAGGTATTTGTTAAGCAAAGATGATTACAACTTTCTTTGTTGTTTGTTACTTTTTTAATATACAACACATTTCCATCCAATAAAGTCTGAAAGTAAACCAACATCTGCAAATCAAGTTACCCATTGTTGTAATAAGTACCTACCTAATACACACCGAAATTCAGAAGCCCTCCAAAAAAGCGTCTGGATTGTTTTCCAAACTTTTCGAGTTCACAACAAAAGTCTGTCAAGCATATCATTTTGAAAACACGATTGCTACAACACAAGGCAATTTTGAAAGAAATCTACAAGTTGGTGCCAATCATAAATTGTTCGACACGATTCAAATTCACAAGTTCCAAGCACAAGTGAAAAGTTTCCAAGTTTCAACTTGAAAATACAAAAGAACTTCCTTGAAAGCTTTTAACAAAATTCACAATTAAACTGTCTCTGAATTACGGCCAAAATGGGCGGCACTTACAAAAACTATTATCTGAATTGCTTTAAAATGTTAAATAGTGACTTTCGTCTACTATAATTCTGTTTTACAGGCGGGTGTGTTTCTCTGAGTGGCCCGACGGTATGACTACGCAGTCCCAACTCGAATACTGGTACGTATAATTATTCCTCACACAGAACATACATATATTTCTGTATTCTAGTAACAATACAGAATTTTAGGGTTTTCATTTCTAATTCAATTGACATAATTTTTTTCACAAATCTTACTAAGATTCTCAAAATCCAAAAATGACCCTGAACTACGTGTATTTTGTGTTTGTATTAAGTAAACATTATATTATGACTATTAAAGATCCGGTAAATCACCCCAAGTGACTTTCTCAGCACTCGGCTTGTAATTATAGTTTATACTTTTCTAATATAATTAAACAATACAGGTACAACGTGGCGTTCATGGTGCTCACTTACTTCTTGCCCATCATGTCGATGACGTACACATACTCCAGGGTAGGCATCGAGCTATGGGGATCCCAGTCTATCGGGGAATGCACGCAAAGGCAACTGGACAACGTCAAAAGTAAACGGAGGGTACGTATTTTAAGTTAATTATTTTTTTATTATCATAAGCCATACCTGATTTATTCTAAACTAGCTTCTCTAACTAGCTGCTCGGCTCTTATAGATCGTAGCGTGATATTTTAGCTATCTATCAGTGAAAAGTTTTTGGAAATCTGAACAGCGATTCCAAATAACTCCCCCTATATACAAAGTTACAAATTTTACCTTTTTATTTATAATATTAGTATAGTCACTATTGTGAATTAACTGAAAAGCTCTACTAGTTTCAAGTCAAAGCGGGAGTCATATTCATGAGCAGCATACCTACATACGCGTCGCGTCAACTATTGTTATTTTCAATAAATTTAGGCACACATTTTACCTGGTATTTTAAGTGAGAATATCAATAGAAAGATATAAGATTAAGTGAGAATATATATAGATAGAAAGAAGTCGGTTAAAAATACTCAAAATAGTAATTAGGCGTGAAATGTGTTTTACTTCAAAAGGTTTTGAATTGACTGCTCAAAATAAGACTCATATATTGTACATTGTAAATTACCGTGAACATTTCGTAATGATACAAAAATCTCATTTTACAACAAGGCGGCCTTTGTTTGAAATGCATGGGAATTTAATAAAAGCAATCTTGCCTATGCTAACGAATCTCACGATACAGTGCGAACTCGTTTCACGGCGATATTTACATGTGTTTGATATGCAAATATTATTATAATACATTTTCTGTCCAAAGAAAGTAAGTAAGCAAAACTTATTGAGAGATGCTGGTAGAACTTATTCACAGTATTATAATTAATAAGACAATACTATTGTAACAAAATTTTTGTTGCATATTTAGTACTTAAACTTTTAACATGGCAAATGAAACAATACCTACTGGAATATTTCAATACTACTCTAGGCTTGTGCGTTCCAAAGCACTCAGGGACATTGTAGCTATCTATCAGTGAAAGAATTTTGGCAACCCGACCAACGGTTCCAAAGAATACCCCCTACATTCAAACTTACAAATGTTACCTCTTTATAATATAAGTATAGATTATTCAATAAGACTTTCTAAATAAATTTTATTAATACGTCTTGGATAAACATCTTCATCCTCGTTTTAATAAAACTCTCTTCTAAACTCCTAAGCCGTTTCGGCGACCGCATTTCGCGGGTCCAGCACTTACTTAAAACCATATTGAAATATTACATCCCAAGTAAATTAAACATCTTATCTTCTATCTATTGTCTTCCTTTCTTAATAATGGATTTCGTATTGTTCGTACGGGATCCTTTTTAAAGAAATTGATTTCCCTCGGGTTCTTGACCTTCCCTTGCCAATATGTCCGCCAAAACTTGTAACAGTTTCAAATGATTTGTTTATATATGTGTGTAAACGAACTTGGCAACAATTTGGAATATTTTATGCCGTATGTTGAATAACTACTTCAGACAAATTTACGTTGTTTCTTTCCTCAAAATTAAACGAGTACTTAACGTCTAAACATTATGCTTCTGTAACAGGTAGTGAAAATGATGATAGTAGTGGTGGTGATATTCGCTGTCTGCTGGCTGCCGTTCCACGTGTACTTTCTGGTGACATCATACTACCCAGACGTGGTCAACTATCCTCATATCCAAGAAATTTACCTGGGCATCTACTGGCTCGCCATGAGTAACTCCATGTACAATCCCATCATTTACTGCTGGATGAATTCCAAGTAAGTTTTCGGAAGTGTAAAACTTTTATTGCGTAAGAATGATTATAATCCTTGAACCGTGAATAAACGCTCTGTGAACTCCCAAGTTATTGGAGAAAACTTTATTGGTTTTACTTTTATTACCTTTTTTGCAATATTCCGTCATAATTTACGAAGAAAAAATTGGTGGTCTCATAATAAATCAACCTAATATCACGGTTCAGGTGACTAGTATTGATAATATTTAGTATTTTTTACGATCGAATTTATCACGATATAGTAGCAGTTAATTTTAGTTTAGACATTTCATAAAAATTCTGTTACGCAGGTTTAGAAGAGGATTCAAGCAATTCTTCTGGTGCTGTGGTGCATTTGGTGGTGTTGGGTTAGACCGGCGCAGGGGATTCGGAACAGAGCGCCTCGACAGATCGGTGCGATCCCTATCACCTAGCAGGAAGAATGGTACCAGTAAGCTGATGAAAACCCTTTATTTAGCCGTTCTTAGAGAATAGTTTGCAGTAGATGCTTGTCATAGATATTTTGGTTGGATTAATAATTAATTTTCGACCACATCGAAACATGGATTTAGTTATTACGTTTAATATTTTAACTGTTACCATCCTCATGACATAATCCATATTATCTGATCAAAAACATAATAAAAAATCAATCTAATGCCATTGTCTTCTACCATCATTGAACACATTCAATAAATAATCAATTCTCTCCCCTTCCACACAATACAACTTTTCTCCATATCTGTCTCTAGCTAGAATGGTTTAATGTTCAACAAATAGGTATTTGAGTTCAATTCATGGAAAGGAATTTCTTCTTCATAGGTTTATTCAAGACGACAAAATTCATCAAAAACCCACCTCCTGGCTCTCCCCACTTGCTCCATGCAAATAAAATACACAAGTAAGAAATACTGAGGAGCCAAGTTCAGTTATTTTTATCTGACCATATCGATGTTATAGAACGAACTAACATGACACACTCGTGATAGCTTTCAATACGTCAGTAGTTAAGCTCTTTTCTTTCGGTTCATCATACCCTTTTTATCTTTCTTTTGCTTTCCCATAGCTTTCTTCCTTAGATGTTTCAAACGATCCAGCGGCTTCTTCATTGTCTACAACAGCGGCTACTACCATTTTACTGTTTCTAAATAGTAGTCATTGAGTGTTGCTAGTCGAGTATGAAATTATTGTTGCTGATTGTGGTAAATTTTCAACAGGCACTATCCGAATTTCGATGCATAGCACTTACAACCAGACGCTGGTGAGCACAGCCTGACAGCGGAGGGGCGCGGGCGGGCCGCACGACGCGTGCAACAGTGACGCGCACGCCGCGCACGCGCCGCACGCCGCCACCGAGCGCACGTGGATATGACGAGAGAGTCGCGGCCCGCGCGTGCCTCGCACTCCACACGACCTCTACGCATAATCTGATGCCGCAGCGTTATAAACGTTTTGCTGCTATAATGTGTTAGACATTCTCATGATATAAGTGGTAAACTAGTCAAGTATTGCATAAAAATGTGGAGGTTGAGAAGACTTTTTTTACAAGTAAACATTTGTATAATTATCGACCGAAATCATCAACCATAAACTTTATTTTAGACAATGCATCCAATGTGTTCGATACATATTTTATTGTGATTGCTTAACATTGTAATATTACATTTAACGTCCTATTATTGTTTTTTCCTCATTGATTGAACTACAAAAAGCAAAGTATTAAAAAACAACCCTGAGTTATATAAAAGTTTACGTGGATATAAACAGTTCATGAATTTGACTTGATTTAACCGCATTTTGTTATTCGATTAATAATATCTTAGTCACAATTATTTAATGCTAGTTTAAGTACTTTATCAAAGCAGTGTTTAATAATATCTTTAGGATAATGGTAAGCCGTTGGATGAAAAGGACGAAAAGTATCGTTCAGAATGAATATTGATGGTTCGGGTTACCAACTTTGAGCTTGATTTAATGAAGATTAACAATGAAATAAATTTTCTATGAAAGGGTTTTATAAAAACGATCGAAGGTAAGGTTTCTACGAAATGTTGATAATCAATGTAAGTATATTGTAAATAAAATATGATATTATAAGTAGAAGTATAAAAAGATATGTTTTTTAATGATGTACAGATTGTATAAGTATATCAAATCTAAGTAGTGGTAATTATTACCGAATATATAATTTGTAACATACTTTAAAGTAGCATTATATAACACTCTCATACCTGCACAGCGAGATTGCGCGAGCGACGTGTGCATATGATAATTTTTAATTAAATATACAAGTTCTCTTAAAATGATGTAATACGGCAAGAGTTTGTCTCTATTATTTTACCGCAAGATACTATTAAAGCAAAAACTAAGTAGTCTAAGCACCTACTACTTAAAAATTCCTACTCAAATGCAACTGCACAATTTACCTCGTAAAAATAAATTAATGTCAAAAGGTTCTGTTACTTTTTCGAGTTAAGTTTTAAGAGCATTTTAACAGACTACATTTAAAAATGTCCAACCTTAAAACAAATATTTTAGCGTGTTAAGTTCCCATTTTAAACCCGGTATAGAATTTCTAAATTAAACTTATTAATATGATCTTAAGAATGTTATTTGTACCTATGTATTATAAGAGTAAATGATAAAATGAGATTCGAGGTGAACAAGAAACGTAGTCTGAAAATGAAAAGCAAAAGCTTTCTTGGACCACTGATGAAATGTTAACGACAAAACAACTGCAAGAAAAAGATAAAGAATTCCTTTTACTGGTTTTGTAAATATATTTTTACTTGTAATTTCATGACGTTACCAAAGTAGAAGCAAAAGCTCCCAAGGATCACGCTATACTGTGTAAATGTAAGGTGAGACTGTAAAATATATTTAAATCCTTTTCGATTTTTCCTTTGAACAAACAAACGCGCTTTTGAAAAGGCATCCGTATGCACTGCAGACAGGATCTGAGCGACTATTTACCTATACAAAAATCCGAGTGCATAATCCGTAGTGATCGAAATCCGAGAACAGCACACATTCGGTACAAACTTCCAATATGGAAACCGATATTAAAACGATTTAATCTCTATGCTTTTTACATTGCTATCCAATTTACAAATTGTATTATACTATCTGGTATAGTAAAATTGGTGATTGATGACCATTTTAATAACGTAATTCTTGGGTTGATTAATTCTTTAAAAGACAATAGCTAAACCATTTAAAGCCAGTTCTACAGTTAAACTGCTTGAATAATTAATGTAATAATTGAAAGCATAAATAAAGGAATTCCCTAAAAAGATATTCTGGCGGGTTTTACGGGAATTTATATTGTAATACTGAATGTCCTCGTTGTGAAAATTACAAAAAAAAATCTACCCAATTTGTCAATGAATGTCCCATTTTTTGCTGAAAGTCAAGTCCACTCGACTCTGTTGGCAACAAGTTCATGTACTTACGATTTTGAAACTCCTGACTTGTATCACTTTTAATGATGTCGTACGGACAAAAAGTCTGGTTCATATAAACTGAATATACCTAATCTTGAATAACTTCGAAAGGTTAAATATGCTCGTTATACCAAACAACAAACTTATGTCCAATTACCCAAGAAAAAAGTTCAGTTTTTTTAATTTTTTTTCTAATACATTGTTCACACATCCTTAAGAAGCTACGTAGCTTAAAAATGGGTATCCTAAGACTGCTTACCGACCCTGGCGTAGTATAAAAACTTTTCTGTAGAGAAAACTTATAGTACGGTTTTATTGTATCTTAGGTACCAAATCTAGTAATATATTTAAGCTATAAGGTATGTACCATAACTATAATACTATAGGTAAGTTACTTGTATACGTAATTATGTATGTAAATAATAAAACTTCGTGTAAATATATTTTTTATGTAAAATGTATCTAACGACATCTTGTATTTATTGAACGTATAGAAACTCTATGTGAAATTGGAAAAATAAAATTCATGATTATTTTACCTTGAGTTTCATTTAGAAACAGACTTAATTGATATTACTTTAAATTAAAAACTTAAAAATCAAAATGGCCACGCAGAAAACCTAGAGGAATCGAATCTACTTGGCCTCTAAAGTCCAAGGAAATAATGTAAATCTCCGTGAGAAACGTGGAATGTATACATTACCCTCTTACACGGAGAACAAACCTCAAAGGAAAATAGCTAATGTTCTGAAAACCACTAAGGGGTCCATTTTGGCCGCATCTGGTCAATTCACTTCCCGCTATGCGGAGCGTGCGGAGCCTCTACATACTTATAGACGCAATCAATTTTCGCTAAATGTAATGGTGGTCGTGGACGGCACAACGGTAAGTTCCTGCTTTTAAAAAATTAACTACACTTGTGTCGAGTGAAGTGAAGGAGATTATATTTTAAAGATCTGCTTAATGGCTAATTTGATACGGTGGCAAAAGAGCGTACTGATTACCTGATGGTAAGCAATCGGCATCGCTCATGAACTTCCCAACACCAGAGGAGTTACTGCGTTGCAGGCCTCTTGGGGATAAAAAGTATCTGGGATTTAGGAATTAGGGAAGGATGCAGAGAGGCGCAGGACCATTGGGCCTTTGGTAACCTCGCTCACATGGTGATACACAACGATATGGTTGTTTTACGCCAGTTTTCTGTTATGTCTTTCTAAGTGGTATCTTTCCGGTCGAGCCGACCCATTCGTACCGAAGCATAGCTCATCTAATCTACATTTTATTTGTCATCACAATGATTTAAACCAAGTATTAGAAAAACAAGATCAGATATTTTACTAACGATTTATAAACGATTCCTATTTATATAGTAAATCAATTTGTCGAACATTTTTGTATCGTGTAATCGAAAGTACTCGAGCACGAAAACTGTACGAGCGTAGTCAACTTGTTAACAATGATAAATGTGTATTGGATCTCAGTGGAAACTTTCTGTCCGTAACTATACTAAGAGAATAGTTACTATTTTCTATTATTTGCCTTCAAATCTCGTAGCAACGATAATTACTTTGCTACGGCTACGAAAATTTGCTACGGTCGTAGCTGAAATTGCTACGAATTTTATGTAGATAACAAAATATTGGTTACGACTTAGAATTTGAGAATTGATCATAATAATATCTTCTGTGGGTATATTTTGTGTTGAAAAATGACAGGTTTTTTTTATTTATTGAAAGAATCGACGAATCGAGTACAATACTAAATGGTTTTTCGATCTGAATAAACCAAAACGACTAGCAGATTATCTTTTCTCGATGTTATTTATTATTACATAGACATATGTGTCACAAAATATATTAAAAACTGCCCCTTAAGAAAATAACTATCGTCTGATATTTTATATTAATTTTATATTATTAATTAGAACACGCGAGCTAACAGTTTAAAAATAAAAGTATGATAACGTGCCACAAAGTTATTGGGAAAATAAAACAAGTAGGTTAATTGC